GTATCTTGTGCAATGACTATGATAGTATTGGTGCGTTTGAAAAGACGAAAGATATTGCTCAGTTTAGTGTGGATAAGCCAAGTGTAAAGGAGAGAGTTATTGTTAAATTGACTTGCACGAATAAAGGCATTTCTAGTTTCAAGTTACTATTTGAATGCTATTATCTTTGGTGTAAATTACTCTGTTTCTACACTTGGTTGATGAGATATGCCGTGTGTTTGTTCGTCATCTATATTCTACGATACAATGACATGAGCGAGTTGCCGTTCAGATTTGAAGATATAGCTGATAGGAGGAGGTCAGCAAATGAACTCTGAGACGATTTTCCAACCTAGGGCGTCAACCTGAGAAGGGTTGTAGGCGTACTGCTGTAAGTCCTACAGTTCTTCAAAGGGTAGCGCATCAATGAGCAGTCCAATGTGCTTGGTGTGTGATTTTGTACATATGTTCATGTTGTATATGCTGAATTGATATCATCTGTCATCTATCTGTTGGTAATTCTGTTTGTGTCCGGACGACTTCCACTTGGATCATCAACCTGAGAAGGAATGTAGGCGTACTGCTGTAAGTCCTACAGTTCTTCAAGGGTAGTTTGTCATGCCGGAATCCACAACATTTGATGTAGTGATTGTACATATGTTTGTGTTAAATAGTTGTGTGAGTTCCAATTATTGTAATTGTTGATTAATCTTGTTTGTGTCCGGACATTCCACAAATTACAATCGTCAACCTGATAAGGGTTGTAGGCGTACTGGTGTAAGTCCTGCAATTCTTCAAACGAATTCCACCAAGACATGATCGGCGAGTTTGTGTGTACTATTTTTATATACGTGTGGTGTGTCATATCAATTGGTGTTTTTTGGATTCATTGTGTTTACTTGTTGTTTTCGTGTCTTGCTGTTATTGCGTAATTTTGTTAAAATTTTCGTCGTGATTACTTCTGAAATTGTTTCGAGTCTTCTACATCCATGAATGAATTGATTGATGTTAGAGACAGCAGATGGGTCGTATACGCCGGGGAGGCTAGGCTATTGCTGTGAATGAAATGCACACGGAGATAATTGTTAGCTGCGGTCCGACACGCCGGGGAGAAAGAGTGTAAACGACTGAGGCTCGCATGCGTCACCGCTACTAGAACTGAGGCAGAATGAGTGACAAGCGATTTAAATGGTAATTGGTAGTGAGTAGATAAGACGATGTGCGTAGAGTAATAATATATTTCTTCCTGTTTATGCAGGAACATACCAATTGTACAGGCATGGATAAGTTATTATATAAATTACACAAATTGATGTATGATGAATTTACAGTTTGGTTGTTCTTTCTGACATTAGAGTCAGACGGAACAGTCTGCTATAAAGTTTGTTTGTGTAGCACATAAAGAGATATAGAAATATTGTCTTCGCATTAAAAAAAACCCAGACATCAGATGAATGTAATACAAATATCTGGGAAAAAAAGCTTGAAGTCAATCCTTTTACATAACTTTGTTGTGAACAGCACCCTCGGATCAAAGTTTATTGATGTATTATGTTGAGATCAGTGATATATTTATTCTATTTTTTCAGTAGTCTTATCGTAGTTTTATAACAGGAAAGAAATTTGATCGTGGATGCGAAAACTAGATGAGGTCATGTGTAGTTGTTTTACTGCATCAAATGGTGCTGAGGTCGGTTCCAGAATTCTCCATTTGCTCCATTTGTGTCTGCATGGCGGACTGCATTCGTAAGTTCAGAAAAATGTTGAAAACTGTTTGAAAACCAGTTGCTTCTTCATTTCAGATCATGAATACTCATTTACAGCATGTTCGCCAGCGTCTTCAAATGGTAGAATTGGATCGTTCATGGAATTTGAGTGGTTATGAGATAGATGGTTTGGAATTAATCCTCATTTCAGTTTAGATGCAGGGTTGTTCGACCTCGACCAGAAGATGAATAGGAGTATCAGAGTACCAAAAAGAGAAAGTATGTGAACATTAAAAGGACATAAATGTATATTTTTTTTTTTTTATAAATTATTAAGAAATTATTTTTAGTTATGTTTTTTTTTACGAATTTATGCGAAGTCTTAGAGTCTATTTAGTGTCATGATGTGTATTAATGAGTCTGAGCGTTTTAGTGTTCTAATGACTGATGCGTTTTAGAAGTAAGTAATGAGTTCTGGTAGGGATAGACTTTGGGATAAAACAGTTTATATAGCAAGCGTTTGAAGGTTACAATAAAGTGACACGTCCTATTTCTAAGGGTAAACTATTCCTGTATGTTCCGTACTAAGTCTTTATGCATCCATGCTGCTAGTTTATTTATGGTTTTTAGATTGTTAAGGGTGTTGAAGTGCGTTTTTTAGGTGCTGTAGTAGATTAGTAGTTGATTCGTTTTAGGAGTAAATAGTTTATTGATATAGTCAGTAGAGTGAAACAGTCTATGCAGAGAGCGTTTGAAACTTGTAACCGAAGAGCAAGTTCTGACATCTAGGGGAAGGCTATTCCATATTTTAGAATACATGACTGTGAAGAAGTTTTCACGGAGTGTTGACCTAAAAGAATGAGTTGTCACTGTGGAAGTTTGGTTACGCAGATCGTAAGAACCTTCCTGTGCGAATTGTATGTCCCTGTTACCTGAGAATGATATTTTGTGAAGGACCTTAAAGAAGAATATTAGGTTTATAATAAGTCGCCTTGTCCAAAGTGGGTCAAGTTTTAGGATCATGCACCGTGAGGTGTAGTCTTTCTTACAATCATAGCCAAGTAGTTTTGAGGTAAAATATCGTTGGATACTTTCCATCCTTAGCTTATCACGTGTGCGAGTGCTGCTTATAATAAATGGACAGTATTCTAGTAGTGGTCTGACACATGTTTTGTACAGAATTAGCTTGGCTTCATTGTCGTGGAAGTTCCTGAGTATGCATCCTAAGAGCATCCTCGATTTTCTAGTCTGTGATGCTACTTGCTCAGAGAATGTCAAGTCACTAGAGTACCTCAGGCCTAGGTCAACGACACTTCGGAGTCTGGTTAGGTTAGCGGATTGAAGCGTTAATTTCAGGTCAATTGAGGGTGCACCGAAGCAGATCCAGCCACATTTTTTCAGATTGAATTGGAGGTTCCATAGGGACGACCAAGCAGTCATTTTATCTAATTCCTTCTGCACTACATTCTCGAAGTTCCCTAAGTCATCACTTTGGAATGTATAGGCTACTTTTAGGTCATCTGCAAAGATGAATGGCTTCCCATGCGTGAAGCAAGCGCATATGTCATTGATGTATAGTGTAAATAGTAGGGGTCCAATGACACTACCTTGTACTACACCAGAAGTGATAGGGCTAGGTTTGGAGGTTGCAGACCCGAGTTTAACTATTTGGGACCTGTTGTTAAGGAATGATTTAAGCCATCCTAATAATGGGTCACGTATTCCTAAGGAGTTCAGCTTATTTGTTAGCAGTATATGGTCAACACGGTCAAATGCCTTAGAAATGTCAAAGTAGATGACAAGTACTAGTTGCCGTCTGTCACGACTGCTGGTTACAAAATTGAAGAAGTCTAGGTGACATGTTAAGCATGATCTGGATTTCAGGAATCCATGTTGGTTTGGACTTATAATATTCCAGCTAAGCATATGTTTGATTAGGTTATCTTTGACCAGTCTCTCCATGATTCTAGATGCTATAGGTGTGATATTGATCGGCCGGTAGTTACTGACTTCAGTTTTCGAGCCAGATTTGTGTTTAGGCATAATGAATGTTGTCTTCCATATGTCAGGGTAAGTTTGAGTTTCTAGGGACATTGTGAATATTTTAAGAAGCAGTAGAGGAATGTCAGGGCCACCATATTTATAGAAGTAAGATGATATACCGTCGGTACCGAAACCTTTTGAACTTTTGAGGGTTCTTATAGTTTGGTTAATATTAGCGTAAGTGAATTGAACAGTGCTGATTTTATTTGGTGTGAGTGGAGATGGAGTTTGTGTCATATTAGTAGTAGGGTGTATATCGAGTAGCTGGACTGAGGGCTTAATGTAGTTACCTGCAAACGTTTTGTTGAATAGTTCACATATGTCTGTAGAGTTAGTGCATAGCCTACCTTTGTCTATGAGGAGAGAAATGCTGTGATTTTTGCGATTCATTCGCTTCCTTAAGATTTCTGTGAGTGCATACACTCTAGCAGGACTGGCTACTGCAGTGCGTTCTTCCTTTCTCATACGGTGATCTCGAGCTTGTGAGATGGAGCTAAGGGTGTTAAGTATTAGACCTAGAGTGCCAAAGTCGTGGTGTTTGAAGTAACTTGTTGAGAGTCTCTTCAGTTTCGTACGATCCTTTGGTTTTATGAATGACTTTCTGTGTGGGGAAACCTTTAGTGTTTGGAGTGGAATGACAGCATCTAAGCATGTGTTAGTGTTATGGTAGAAGATGGTTAGGGCTCTCGATAGGTCATCGGTAGTGAAGTATTCATCCCATTTGGAGGATCTTAGCATTGATTCTACTAAGGCCCAGTTTGCCTTACTATAGTTCCTATATATTACTTGTTGTGAAGTGGAGGTATGAGATGCATTGCTACTCAGCGGAAGTGGCAGTGCACATACCACTGTTTTGTGGTCGCTCCCTGGAAACTCAGAACCTACTAGCGTTGAAAGGGGGCTTATATTGTGGCAGAAGATTAAGTCTAGTACGTTATTACCTCTTGTGGGAGTAGTGACAGTTTGTTTCCAGCCAAGTATATCCAGCGTGCCTAAAAACTTATCAAATTTAGTTGGGCCTGTGGGTATATCCCAGTTGATTTCAGGTAAGTTAAAGTCCCCACATAGGATCTTATGGTCGTATTGTAAGTCGGATAATTGCTCCAGAGTATTAATAAGTTGGGTCTCGTAATTACTAAAGGTGCCAGGTGCTCTGTAGGTGCATCCAATTAATGCTGTTACGTTATTTAGGTGTACATTAACCCATAGAGTCTCAGGCATGTTAAGTGTACTACTTTCTAGCTGTGATACAGTAAGTGCATTCAGAAAGTACATGAGACAACCCCCTCCCTTACCACCTTCCCTGTCACACCGAAAGTGTGTGTAGTTATCTAAGCTTATTTCTTCATCCAAGATGTTCGAATGACACCAAGATTCAGTGATGACAATTACAGGGGGTTTGTATATTACTGTGAGTGCTCTGAGCATCGGCAATTTATTTAGAACAGATCTAGCATTTATGAGGATTAGGTAAAGATGAGAGTTGAAGTAGCATTTGAAGTATTCAAGTTCGTTAGTCAGCCCCGAATATGGTTCAGCACCCAGTAGTTCTGCTTGACATGATGATCCTATGTTAAGAGGAGTTTCAGCATCATGCTCACCTATGTCTACCGAGTTGGTGTGTGCTGTTTTCGGTGAAGAATTAAGATTTGGAGTACTGGATGTGCTATAGACCGAGGAATTTTTATTTTTAGTCAGGTTACAGAAGTGGGTAGGGTTCTTTATTTGACCTATATTTGTGCAGGTGTCAAGTGTGCCTAATGGATACGGGTGCACTAGACCGTTCCTGTTTTCATGCAAGGAGGGAGCCAGCTCTAGTGGTTTAGGAGTGTTAACATCCCTACCAGCTGTTTTTTCAACGCTGACAGGGACGCGGGGGATAAAAAATGATTGGATCCTTGTGATGACCATGGCTTATTATTCCACCTATTGTTTGATGCTAGTTGTGTCCTTGTGTGGGTTTCGTGTGTACTGCATTGTGGGTTAGTTCCCAGCAGACTTGTACCATATATCCGGTCAAAATTTGTTTGTGTGCCATACTCTGAAGACCCTAAGTTGTTGATAGCCGAGTTCTGACTATTACCACTTGTACTATTGAGGGTGACATTGTTGTGACATTGGATATCAGTGTGTGCCATGGTGCGATTTAGCACGTTGTGGGTGCTAGTACTATTGACCGTGGGAAGTGTGGGTTTATTTAAGCTGCCACTGTTTTTGTTTGTATGGTTTAGGGGCATATTTTCCTTACCTTTAGCAATGAAGTTATGGCTAGGAGAAGACAAAGTGGAATTTCGGGGGGTTTTGGCTTTTTTTCTGGGGTTATTTAATGGCATTTTAGATTCTGCGGTGATAGGTGGTATGGTTTTGTTATTTATTTGGTTACAGTCTAGTGGCCTTTCGGCTGGTGTTGCACTCTGATGGGATAATTCTGTGTGTTTTGAGAGGGGTGATGCGGTGGGGTCTACTGTATCTTTCACAGGGTTGGGAATAATGGCTGCTTGCAAAGTCCTATTACCTATTTCACAATTAGTCTTAGCAAGATAGTTGTATGCGCGCCTTTCTATGACTGTTTTGTCCACCCCGACCTTTATATGTTTGTAGTTTCTGGCTTGCGATAGGGTGTGTTGGGAGTGGATGAATTTTCTGGTCTCTGCCGGTGTTTCGAACTGAAAACGAATAGGACAACACTTCTCATGTTGACTCTTCTTCAGCCTATAGCACTTAGTCTTGGAGTTAGGCATTTTCGCTTCACTAAGTAAGATGCGCTGTACCTTTTTTAGTGCCTCATTGTCCGGAACGTTGTAGACAATAGCACTCAGTTTTGCGTCGAGTCGTTTTGTTACTTCTGTGGTAACAAAATTAATGAGGTTATCTACCTTAGTTACCGATTCTGTGTCAAGCTTGTTAAGGTTTACAGTTTTCATGAGGATAGTTAGAGGTGTCAATTCACAGACCTGCGATCTGATATCGCTGATCTGATCTGATAATTTGGATATCTCGGTATCGGTTTCGATGTTTCCAGCATTTACTGACTTGCTGTTTTTTATTTCCCTTAACTCAGCCTTAAGTTCTCCTATAGACAACTTTAGAAGTTCTATTTCTGAAGATAGTACTGAAGATTTGCTTGATGGCTGGAGTTTCTCGATAAGCACATAAGGTGAAGGGAGGGTTTCTGTATGAGCAGAGGGTACTGAATTTTTAGGAGTAGTGCTAATACTAGCTGTCAGTACCGTTTTATCCTCAGTTACAGCTCGACGCTTACGGCATACAAGTGAGTTATGTGACACATTATAGCCGTTTGTAGGGGGTGTGTTGCTTGATGTAGCAATCAAGGACGTTAAATTGGACACCAGTTTTACAGGGGATGGGTTCGTTGCTTTTTACTTTGACTAACCATAACTATTAGAAATGGAAGTTAGTGGTTACAAGTATGGAGGTAGTATAGTACTTGTGCAAGTACTACAACAAGATAAATTTTATGTAACGAATCACGTAAAAATGTAACGCAAACGTTGAACGTACCGCGATACAGAGTATCACGAGGTGGTGCTATGGTCACGTTGCATTCTGCAAGAGTCATTCTAGTAAGTGGCGATTGTGTTGCAAGATGTCAAGAGAGGTCTCTGTCTGGAGGCGCAGGTCGTCAGCGATGTGTGAGATTGTGCTGTGGGTATGCTTGTGGTGTGTTGGCTTTTCTGTTTGTTTTCCATTTCAGCTCTGTCCGTGTGACCCAGGTTCTCGCAATGGCATCCAAGTCAACGTGCATTGATCGTGAAGGAAAAAAGGGTTGGATCCCTTTTTTGCCGGGGAGTGTCAATGGAGTTGAAGATTGAACGATCAATTCTTGGTTGTTTGCTTAAAATCAACTTCCACAATTTTCGCGGAGGCATCAATACGACAGTCATCGTCTCATCGGTCGCTGTTCAGAAAGAAGATTGAAACATCGTCAGAAGTAATACAGAGATTTATTATTGTAATATTTGTTTTCAGACCTTAGTTCACTTATTCTTTTTATATGTTGGTGTAACAATAAAGAAATATCAAGCGGCAGATCGGTGTTTTGGTTTTTTCGTCCGTTATAACTAAGCGTTTTTGAAATCTTCAAGGAACAGCGTGGGCCCGAGCGTAGCGAGAGCTGGGCATTAACGGTTTATGAGACGTGATTGACACACGTCAAGTTCGGACATTAAACTCCCCTCACTTGCTTGCGTAGTAAACAACATCATGGACGGTATACACAGTGATACTACATGTAATGATCTAGGCCTCGTAGACACCTGCAAAGCGTCTTGCGATAAGAATCACACGGCAAACATTCTTACTCCCATCACTAATCCAGTTTTTTGTTCTACACTTAGTTGTGAAGATAAATTCGAAGAACTATTTTCTATAATTAAGGGGCTTGAAGTTAGGATGTCAAAACTGGCACTGCCTAGTCAAACTGGCAGTAGTAGTACTTCACCTAGAAAGTTACCACAAACTGCAAACCTTATAAACTACGTTGCAACTGAAGTATATCAACGTGTAGTGCGCGAGAAGAACATAATTGTGTATAATATACCGGATAATGCACAGATCAACAAGGTCAAAAGCACTCTTTTAAATGCATGCTCTATGAATAACGTCCCATGCAGCTGCCATCGACTAAGAAAGTCTCAGAAGAACAAATCTTGCCCACTTGTGTTGAAATTTGACTCGTCCTCCAATGCTGACATCTTTTACAGTAGGCAAACCCTACTAAAAAATACGCGTTACCACACGATCAAGTTAGCTCGTGACAAAACGCCGATCCAAAGAATGACTTATATGACCGATGCTAAAACTGTGAATCCCAACTCCTCTACAACACCCCTGAGCACCCACAATTCCGTAGAGGCAGAGCAAAAGGGTGTGAACCTTTCTGTACAAAGCACATCGTATTCGGAAACGAACTTCCGTGGAAATATAAGGTCCAAAAATGGATCGATGTATAACCACAGACTAAGAAGGAAATCCACCGTGGATCTAGACTCCTCTGATAACGATCCCTGTACCCCGGTGACAAACTGCGGTACATCACACCCAGTATTCCCCAATCCAAGCAGCCTCAATTCCAGGAAGTTGAAAAGTGGGGCTACCAGTTCGTCCACAAAGACAGTGCATAATAAGAGACTATTGCCACACACTAATTCAGATACTCACAGTTTGATAACACACCTCTCTCCAGAAACAAATACTCACAAAGCCGAAAGGGATAAAAACCGTAAAACGCAGCCCGAACCTCGTAGCTACTTGTCCAAAAAAGTAAACCCTCCCACCACTTTAAACCGAAAGATTGATACACCTAACTATAGGACGTCGAATAGTGGTGAAGTAAATCGCAAAAATTCGAGTCAGTTTAGCTTGCTTGGTAGGCCACCTCCACCTATTTACATGCCCATACTCAACGGGACTGACCATCCAACGATCAGCAATTTCGCTGAAACGACATTACCATTTTTTATTCAGGTTCACAACATGACCTCAAACATACTACAAATGCTCACCACTCTCCACAGGTTTCGCCCCCCAATATAGATATGACAGCTCATACAGCAATGCCTAATTACTGCCTAGAGCTCACCTTACATGACTCAGACAATTCTCTTCTTCGTCAAAAACCCTCTATATCCTTTTCTTCTGATAGCCAATCTTCTTTACATCCGAACTTACTTGAACTCGGAAATATAACTGACCCCCTCTGCACTTCTAGCTTTCCTAGGGCATCTACAGACATAGATATTTCATTGTCGTCTGAGGACACTATGATTGAATCTCATCACCAGCTACTTCAAGACATGGCTAAAATCTTAAGATATGACTCGGTTAATCCTAACATAGTCCTTATTAATGCCAGGTCAGCTGTAAACAAAATGGCGTACGTCCAATCCCTACTACTGATTAGCCAACCTACAGCACTAATGATCACTGAAGCTTGGTGCACAAGTGAAATAAATGATGATTTCTTTCACTGCGAAGGCTACTCATTTTTCAGGAAGAACAGATCAGTTGGGAGGGGTGGAGGATGCATTATCTATGTTAAATCTGACTGCAGAGCTGTGCACTATGATGACCCCAACCTGGATATATGTGATACATTATGGGTGACACTCTACATAAATAAACAGCAAACCCTATTATTAGGTTGCATTTATCGCCCACCCAACCACGACAGTGAACTGCTAAGCCAGATAACTGCAGCCTTCCATTACACTTCGAAATTGAACTTTACTTATAAAGTGATTGGAGGTGATTTCAATATGCCAGAAGTTTCATGGGAGCCCATCAGTGCTCCTCCCCGCTACAGCAAATTCTTAGATGCAGTTGAATTATGTGGGTGGACACAAAGTATTCTAAGGCCCACCCGAAACCAAAATATACTGGACTTGGTTTTCTTGAAAGACATCGCCTTATCTACCATAGACATCAGCCGACCATTCCCTGGTAGTGACCACAACACAGTAATCTGCGCCCTTGATACCAAGCTCCACTCATCAAAACGCTCTACCCTGCGCAAGACATTCATGTGCTTCGGAAAAGCTAGGTGGGACGTATCTAACTCCTTCATTAGAAGCTTAGACTGGGATCTTTTCTTTTCTAATAGCAACCTAGACACTATCCTACTAGCCTTTTACCAGAATGTATCTATTTGCTTTGATAATCTCGTTCCTAAATGTAAAGAAAACCCAAGAGAAAACATAAAGAATTTCATTCCTATAAAAGTAAAGGCTAAGCTGCGAAAGCTGTACCGACAGTACCACAGAGAAAACGACTTCTCATGCCTTCTAAATATACAGAACATTTATCTAGCTTTGAAAGAAAATAACGACAAAGCCCTACTCAGACAAGAACATGCAGCTCTTAAAGATAGCTCTAAATACACTGCAATCTGTAGGCTTTATCGCAAAAGGCTAAACTCCCGTAAAACGGATATACAATTCATTTTAGAAAATGGCGAAACCGCTAGTGACTCTAAAATAATTTGTGAGCTTCTAAACTCCTATTTCTCACAGTCATATACCTATGATGATAATACGTTGCCACAACCTCTATTCCCTGTACGTTCACAAAAAACCTTAGAAATTATCAGCTTTTCTTTAGATAATATTAAGAAAGCAATCACTTCTCTTAAAAGTTCAAACAACCCAGGTCCTGATATGATTCCCTCAACTTTTTTAAAATACGGTGGTGAAGACATTCCTATTCTCCTTCTTAAATTGTTCTCTACCTCTCTATCAACTGGAACATATCCAGATGCATGGAAAACCACGCACATTACCCCTAGGTATAAGTCAGGCTCCCGTTCAAGTGTCATGAGTTACAGACCCATTAACCTAACTTCTGTTATTTCAAGGGTTCTGGAAAAGATCGTGAAAAGTGCCATTTTTGACTTCCTCTCTCAAGAGAAACTTATCACTCCTTATCAACACGGTTTCATGAAGTCACGTTCTTGTACGACATGCCACTTACAATTTTTCGACCACATCTCACAACTTAAAGATTCCAGTATGATCACAGTTATCGTATACTTAGATCTTAGTAAAGCCTTTGACACTGTAAGCCACCGACTGTTAATATCAAAAGTCCAGTCCTATGGGATACAAGGTTCATTGTTAAGCTGGCTCAGTTCGTTTCTAAGCAACCGGATGCAAATGGTCAGGTTAGGTTCCCACACATCCAACCCCGTTCGGATAACAAGTGGAGTTATACAAGGTAGTGTCCTAGGTCCACTGCTATTCCTGTTATATTTCAATGACATTTGCGACGTTATTAAACATGGCAGACCTTTCCTATTCGCCGATGACATCAAAATAGTGTATCACTCACTCAGAAATGAAGTGTCATGTGTATTTAGTAGGATTCAAGATGATATTGAGAGCGTCCAATTATGGTGTAACACATGGAAAATGAAGTTTAACGTTGAAAAATGTGGTGTGCTATGCTCCAAAAGCATTTCATCTGAACTTTCCATCTCCCTACACAACAAACATATTCCTCGTCTGCCGCTTACAACAGACTTGGGTCTGAAATACACTCCAGAATTTAGCCTGACTGAATACGTTAAATTACAAGTATCAAAGGTCAAAAGGCTCTTTGGATTTTTATTCCGAAACTTTAAGACCAGTGAATCCAAAATAATGCTGTACAAGTTGTGCGTAAGGCCCTTACTTGAATTTTGTCCCCCTATCATGGACAGTGTCTCCGTAAAAGACAGATGCAAATTAGAAAGTCTACAAAGGGCGTTTACTAAACGTCTAGTAGGTGAAAATCTTTGCATTTCTTACTATGACAGATGTAATCTATTCGACTTGGAACCCTTATGGGTTAGACGACTGAAGTTCAACCTAAAAATTACATTTAGGATTGCTAAAGGGCTTATATATTTCCCCCACAATGACTTTACTTTCAGTTCACCTAAGAAATATAACCTGAGAAATAAATCTTCTTCTTTTAAAGTTCCCCGCTGTCATACAAAATACAGATCAAACTCTTTCACTGTGAGATACCGTTGCAT